AGCAAGATGCAGGCTTGCCGTACCTCAGGAGAGCGTCGACACGTTTACAGGCCCCCCCCTCTTAGCCCCCCCCCCCCCCCCCTCCCAGGACAACTACGAGCCCGAGAGGGGCGGCCACCCTTACGGGCCCTTTGGCATGGTGCCTCCCGTCTTCGTCGTGCCCGTGCCGCGCCGCGTCTCGTGGGCCTCGCCAAAGGTGCTCAAGGTCTCGGCAGGCGAGCTACACTCGCTGCTCCTCTGCGAGGACGGTCACGTCTACGCCTTTGGCAACGCGCACGAAGGCCGGCTCGGGCTCGGGCCGTCCAGCCCGCCGAAGCACATGACGGAGCCGGCCCGCCTCGAGCTGGGCGCCCTCGCGGGCGTTCGCGTCGTCGACATCTCTGCGGGCTCCGACCACTCTCTCGCAGTGCGCGCCGACGGCCGCGTCGCCGCGTGGGGCTCGCGTCACGCCATCCTCGGCGGGGCCCCTCCCCCGCGCCCGGCGGAGAGCACCGGCCTTCCGGCGCTCGTCGACGAGACGCCGGAGCTCATCCACCTTGCCTCGGCTGGCAACAAGCACTCGCTCCTCGTCGGCCGCGATGGCGGCGTGTACTCGTTCGGCCACGGCTACGGCGGCTGCCTCGGCCACGGCGCCGACGAGAGTGACAAGTTCGCGCCCACCAAGATCGAGGCGCTCTCGGGCGTGGCCGTGCGCGTGGTTGCGGCGGGCGAGACCCACTCGCTCGTGATGGACGGCGACGGCCACGTGTACGAGTGGGGCTACGAGGACACGAACTCGATCGATTGGTCTGACGAAGAGGATGTGGAAGAGACGCCGCTTCACGTGCGAGGCGAGCCGGTGCTCCTCAGCGAGCGCTCGCACAAGTTCTACGACTCGTTTGGCCGTCGCTCTGATCCCGGCGCGGACGGGGACGAGAAGAAAAAGCCCGTCTTCAACGAACCTGACCTCTGCGCGAGTGCCATCGCCGCCGGTTGGGGCATGACCGCCGTCCGCTCCGCCACCGGCCTCGGCTCGAGCGGCGGCGGCTGGACCGACTGTGGCGTCGGCTTCGAGTCGTCCGCCTGGCCAGGGGACGAAGAGGCGACCATGGTGGCGGCCGTCAAGGAGGAGGACGAGGAGGAGCATGAGCCGCAACAGGCGGGCTGCGTGATATCGTGAACGGCGAGGCGCGCGCAAATCGCACGCAAGGCATTGTGATCGAACTGCACTCGTCGCTTCGTGTTGTGAGCGCCCCTTCTTCCTCGCGCAGCAAAGGAAGCAAGGGTCGGGGGTCGGGGAAGTATGTCGAGGCTTCCACGGAACGTCGCGCCAGTGGGGCGCGGGAGGCGCCCCACGATGTCACGCTTATGACGACGGTGTCTGGTGTCTGACTCGCGCTATCTGGATCAGTGAGGAAGACTGCACTTCACAGAAAAGACTCCACTCGACAGCGGCAGTGCCCGCGCGAGTGTCGGCGCTGCTAACAGCTGACACGCAGGTCGCAGGCCAGCAAACTTGAAACTACGGCTATGGCGGCGGATCGGCGCGCGTGCCGTGGCGCGAAGGGGGCTCAGAGCCGTAGCTACTCGTGCACTTCACGCGCGGCACCGCCTCGCCGGTCACGTGGCGTTCGTCGGGAACCCCCGCCGCAAAAAAAAAGCCAAGATGGGCGTAGGAAAGGCGGGAGAAGCCGCGGGCTGTCGGCGAGTTTGCGGGCCGGCGCACGCGCTGCGCGTGGGCTGCGCATGGGCGGGTGGACCGCCCGGCCGCGTCGGTGAGCGCCGGACGCGAGGGTCGGTCAAAACCTAGCTAGCGATCTGCCTGCGTTGGAGCTCACCGGGCGGCTGGATCTCACACGCATAAGATAGGCTTAGCGGCCATGGCATAGGTCAGGCTGTGTGTCCGTCCGCTGTTGACCCAGGGATGGCCTAGGAGCCCTGCACGGACCGTGTTTATGCTATATAACACCAAGGGAGCGACCGCGTGGGGAATGGTGGCGAGCCGCGCATGATGGCCATCGGCCGACAACGTGTGCCGGTGTACGCGTGTCGCTAACACTCAGGGCCCATGTTGCATGACCTGTGGGGCAAGGGGGGGCGACCCTCTCGCATCTCCACGCCCGGGACACGGCTCACGGGCAGGAGAGCCCCACGGCATTCAAAGCGCAAGGCCCAGTGCCGCGGGTGAGCAGACCTGCACCCCACTCCCTCCCTCCCAGAGACACAACCCGCACACAACCCCACAGCGTGGAGGCGACGACTACCGACTACGTGTTCAGACACCGCGCCACGCACGACGCACGCACAGGCGGCGAGAGGCGGCGTTCGAGGGCGGCGAGGAGGAGCTTGGCATCAGACGCCGTTCACACCACCAAGTCCAAGACGTGAACGGACGGGAGGGGAGATCTGGATCAGTGGGCAACCAACTTAGAGCACCCAGCCGCATCTTCCGCGAAAGGAGTTGATGCACAGTCACCAGGCAGCACAGAACAAGGCTCGCCAGGTGAGGTGTGAACCTCTCATAGACCAGCGCAAAGCGCCATAGGACGTATTTTCTTGTCAATAACAAGGTCTGTGAAAGAGACAGTGGATCACTGTTCCCCAAAAGAAAGAAAACAGGCACTTCAAGGGAGGCATGGGAGGACGGCACGCCACCACCAAATAGGGATTTTAAGGAGGGGAGTGTGGTGCTAGCCGTCGCCCACCCTCGGGCGTCGATAAATGATTGAAATAAAACGAGAGACGCCAAGCGAGGGGTGGAGGACTTCTACAGGTTCCCGCGCGACGAGTTTTCATTTCTTCCGGCCGAGAGAGGCATGCGCGCCTTTCCTGAGGCCCCTCCACCATCACTACTCGCTGCCTACTCGCTGCCTCGAGGGAGGAGGGGAAGAGGTCAGGCAGCTCTCACTTCGGTGATGAGCGCTTGGCGCGAGGCCCCTCCCCGAAAGGCAAGTATTAGACCCACGAAACCGAGACCCCTCCCCACTGCCCCGACCCCCCCACCCCCTTGCTCCCCTCCCCCCCTCGGGAGGGCTGAAGAGAGGCGCCCGTGGGGACCCCGCAATTCCCTTCCCCCCTCGGAGGGGGCCGGACGGAGGCGTACCCCGAGGGCCCCGCTCTTTCCTTCGCATAGCGGCCACTCTTCGGATCGCTGGTCGAGCGACCCGGGGGATGCCCCGCGCGCCTGACCCAGGCGCGAAAACGAATCTGCGAGGCGCGGCCGCTCAAGCGGCCCGATGGGGAGGAGCGGGGCGGACTACTGGGATCGGCTTCTTACACAGCCCCCTTATCCCCGCAGCGAGTCCCCTCCAACCCACCCGCGCTAGGTCTCGGGTTTGACGCATGGGGTCACTCCCGCGAAACTCGGGAAATAGCCGGGGCAGTCGGAGAAGGGGCAACTCCGTGCACTGACGGTCGGCCGCCAGCAAACACGCCTGCGTGGATCGCGTCACACCAACCCTCGCTACCCAACGCGGCCAAAGGGTATCCACCTCGAGAACCTCGAGAGCTTTTTTAAGAATTCTTACCGCCTTTTGTGGTGCTAGTCCGTGCCAGTCTGCTGTGCGAGGGGCTTGTATTGTAGAATTCAACAAAACAACTCTCTCGCACAGCACACAGGTTCAACACAGGTACCAAAAGAGGCACAGGCCGGCGACGGACCTTTAGGCTTAGAAGGCGCCGTCGTCCTCATAAACAAAGGTGGGCACGACCGGGGGGACAGTCGAATCCGCGAGCACCGTAGTGCTCGCCGAAAAGACCATCATCCCCATCATCCCAACCCCCCCCCGGCGACCCCCTCGCCGCTTGCCCCACCAGCCAGCGGGCACTGCGCGACCCACCCCCGCGCCCTCGACCGCGCCCCCCGCCAGGAGCATACCGCATCACCTCCGCCCGCGCCTCGTCGAAGAGCAGAATCTCTCCCGCCTTCACCGCCTCCTTCCACCCCTCCACGTACCTGCCTTCGTTTTCTGCAAGCACATGCTTTGATGGCCGTGCATTCTTACCGTCTCTCACGGCTAGCCCGAAAGAATTCTTGCCGCCCGACTCAAAGCGCCGACAAGATCCGACAACCATTGGCTCAGATTGGCTGCCTTCCTCGCCTCTCAGCGCGAATGGAGGCGGACGATAACACCCCGCCCGACAGGGAGGACAGCACTCAGGACGACGGCCTCCTCGACGTCGGGCAGACGCTCGGGCACTTCGAAGCGTGGCTCGCCAAGCGGCGCCGCCTCTGCGAGGGGGCGCTGGCCAAAGCCGACGAGTTTGCGGCGGCCGCGGCGCGCCAGGTTGCCTCCCTGCCGCAGGCCGCGCAGGCCGAGTCCTCGGGCTGGGTGCTGCAGGCGCTGTGGCCATCTGGCGAGCGCGTCGTCCCACTCTTTGTCGGCGTCGCGGCCACCGCCGGCCGCGGACCGGCCTCGGCGCTCGCCATCCCCCACCCGTGCGTCTCGTCGGTGCACCTGTCCGTGTGTGTGGAGAGCGTCTCGCCCTCGCTGCGCGTCACGATCCGGGATGGCTCCGCCGCCGGCCACTCCTCCAACGGAGTCTACCTCGGCGGCAAGCGAGTGGTGGGCGAGCTGCGGCTGGGCGCGGAGGAGGTTGGCGCCCGGTGGGGAGACGAGGCGGCCGAGGAGGCGGGCGACATCACCCTCAACATGCGCACCCGCGACCAGCTCGCCGCAAAGTACGGCGGAGCGGTGCCGCGGCTTCGGCTGCGGCGGGTGCGCGGCTCGCTCGAGGCTTCGCTGAGCGCGATTGCGAGCCAGGCGCGTGCGAGGGCGGAGGAGCGGCTCGCAGCCGTCGACGCGGAGGCGGAGCGGGAGTGGGCGGA